AAGGTCTCCCTGGAGTCTTCTCTTCTCCAGGCTGAACAACCTGAAGTCTCTCAGCCTTTCTTCATAGGAGAGGTGTTCCATCTCTCTGATCATTTTTACAACCCTCCTCTGGACCCACTCCAACAGGTCCATGTCCTTCTTATGTTGGGGGCCCCAGAGCTGGGTCTCACCATGTCGAAGTAGAAGGGCAGAACCACCTCCCTCGACCTGCTGGCCATGCTGCTTTTGATGCAGCCCAGGGTACAATTGGCTTTCTGGGCTGTTAGTGCACATTGCTGGCTCACGTCCAGCTTTTCATCCACCAGTATCCCCAAGCCCTTCTCCGCAGGGCTGCTCTCAATGCCTTCATCCCCCAGCCTGCACCCAGCTGCAGGACCTTGCACTTGGCCTTGTGGAAGCTGATGTGGTTCACAGGGGCCCACTTCTCAAGATTGTTCAGGTCCCTCTGAATGGCATCCCATCCCTCAGGAGTGTCAACCACACCACACAGCTTGGTGTCGTTTGCAAGTTTGCTGAGGGTGCACTTGATCCCACTATGTTGTTGATGAAGATATTACACAGCACTGGTCCCAGTACGGACCCCTGAAGGACACCACTTGTCACTGACCTCCATCTGGACATTGAGCCATTGGCCACTACTCTCTGGATGTGACCATACAGCCAATTCTTTCTTCACCGGATAGTCCATCTATCAAATCTGTCTCTCTCCAATTTAGACAGAAGGATGTTGTGGGGGACTGTGTCAAAGCCATTACAGAAGTCCGGATAGATGGCAGCATGATAATGAAGCAATTCCTATGTATACTTTCAAACAACAGAGGAAAGCAATTCTGGAAATTGAGAAAGTGGAGTTACCTAATAGTAGAGATTATTAATATTTTTTTTCTCCATCTCCCCCCCCCCCCTTTTTTTTTTGCATAAGTTATGTTAGATACTAATTTTCTGAATAGTAGATCTGTATAAACAGATCTAAATAGTAGATCTGTTAATTATATAGAATGTAGCCCTTGTATTTAAAAGTGTCGCTAAAGCTACTGAACCTTGATTTTTCTGAGCTTTTTGTTCTGCTGCTGCTGACTATCTGCCATGACACTGAAGCTAAAGCATCCCATCTGTTTACCACATTAACCAGCTTTACTCAGTTATTAAGCTATCACCTTGCATTTCCTGTGAAATATATTAGATTTTAAAACATTTTTTGAGGAGAGAAAAACGGCAAAGAGCAAGAAGCAGTAGCTTTCTTAATGCATTAACTGTAAGTTAATGTTTTATATTGTTTTTTCTGGTTTTTGTTGGTTTTGGGGGGGGTTGGGGTTTTTTTTGGTCCTGGGATCTATTTATAAATGACTGAAGCACTTTTGCAGGTGGTGGTTTTTTTGCACGCTAATCCTGCAGAGAAACATTGTGTCCAACAAAGTGTGCTGGGTCAGCAAAAACAAGAAACTCGTGCTGGAAAGCCAGTATCCACAGGTATTTAGTGCCTATGCAGATCTGGCAAAATGAATGATTAACTATCATTAACAGAAATCTAGTACTGACTGTTAGGAAGTAGTGCATTTTCTTCTTTCTCGTAGAACAGATATTCTTCCTTTTGAAGTCAGCAAAAGACTCAGCAAGGCAAACATGCATTTAATAAAATGCTGCATTAATCTTTTTCATCTGTATTCTGCCTTTCCCTGCAAAACAAGGTGATCCTTTTTTGTGTCCAGTCATGCATAAATTAAGTACACACCTCCACAAGTGAGGTAATCTTACAAGGATTATTTGAAAAATTAACACTATTACACACTGGTTTCTGGCATTTTGGTGTTTTATTTTAACATTAAAAATAGATCAGATTAGTGGGGAAAATGAAATGTCTTCTGATGCTTTCTGCAGTGTCTGAGTTCACTAATGTTACATGCTTTATATAGAGAACAAACTGAAGAAGGTACAAAAAGAAGGCACAAGAGACTGGAGTAGACCAGACTTGAACGACTCAGGAAGGAAAGGGAACCATGAATGAAGAGCAGCCCCTTGGAAGACTTTCATTCCTCCAGAGGACTCTTTCCAGCTCTGGCTATATCAGAGACTGATGCATTGCTGATTTTTTTACTGGTGTATCACTGTCCAGTCCTACACAATTTTAAGGTTATTTAGAAGGAGTGAAAGCTTATGACATACTGCAAGTTTCTGAGTGATTTGATACTTGCAGATACTAGCATGGTAACCATTAATCTTTAAACACAGACTCATACAGTAAATGGATTGAATTGCATTTGATTTAACCTTAGGCTTAATTATTTAAAAGTATCTACTGTTGCCCCAACTCCATGCCTAACTGAAAGACTGAGAACACAGCAGTTAAAAATGAGCTTCACAGCATTCAGATATTAAATCTAATATTTTCATTCAGTTCCTTTATTCTTAATGAAAATTTTAGAGAAAGCATAAAAATTGTTGCCTTCCAATGAAAGACATGTACACTGACTCGTAGAAAGAACGTTGTCTAAAACCAAGGGCCATCCTCAAAAATGTCATTGCAGAGCCTCCCTTAACTGAAAATTCACCTTCTTAGATACAAGACTTCATGAACTTGCATAGGAATGAAGGCTTTTCCTCAGGTCACAACTGAGTCAAAAAGAGCCCTTTGAAATAATTTGGAATAATTTGGAAGATGGTGTGGCACAGAAGTGGAATGTCCATGAAAAATGCATATTAAGTTTGCAAGTGGCCTTCTGTAACAGTGACAGTCAGAGCATGTTCAAGCTCTTCAGTGTCAAGTTCTTCCTGTCAGAATACAGGAATTACTGTAGCAATCACTGTGTTCAAAGGAACTTGTTGAAATGTTTCACCAAGTATAAATGGAAAAAATTGTTTTGGTCACTGATGACACATGGACACTCTCCATGGGGTCAGTAGGTCTTCTGGTCTGTGAATTGACTGATTGCTTTTTCATGATCCAAGACGATAAATAGTCTTCCACCAGTTCTTGCAATTAGCTTTCCCAGTCCACAGGCAAAATCTTAATCGAGTCTGAAGGATCATCGGACAGCAAGTCTGGATATAGCCCATCTCTATATTTAGACACTGGCTAAGCTGCTTAACTACAGCAGCTTTGCTGAATGAGAAGGAAATACAGAGTTGAGTATCCTTTGCTTACCAGAGGCACTGCAATGAATATTTCTGCACTAAAATTCTAATGTAAATGTGGAAAGAAAAAAAAAAAAAAAAGTTGTACTTCAGGCTGATACCAAACACAGGGTGCCTGGCAGATGTATTTATCATAGAATTACACTAGTTGAAAACGGTCGTTTGTATAAAAATCCCTTCTCAAAGAGTTATATCAGTGCTTAGCATTGTACTAACTACACAAGAAGAACGTTGATCTAAGCAGATGTTATTTAAAAGAACGTTTTGTGGTTGATATTCTTGAAGGCTTCTAAAATGGTACTTTCTTGTACTGAGGAAACATGTAGAGAGACTTTATTTAAATAAAAGTGATTTTACTGCCTAAGTTTGCAATAATCCAATGTATTTGAGAAGCATGTGCTTATTTTTAAAGCTAGTGTAATGCACTACTTCTGCAAATATTTCCTCCTAACCTGAAATTAACCACTCTTTTGTGGTATTTTAGCTCCCATTTTTTCCCAAACTCACATCATTTGTTACCCTACCGTTGGTTATAGAGCAAGTGCCTTATAACTTGGAGTATAAAGTAGCACAGGTAACAGTCTGCTAAATTGCTGGCTTTCCTAAAATACTTAAAAAATTAATGAATGAGATTTTGAAATAAAAAGGGAGAAGTGAAAGCCAAATATGAAGAGAGAATGGAAACTGCTTTGTGTTGAATATTGTGGCAAGCTGAATTAACAGCTGATTTGGAAAATGTCTTTAATGTCCATATATGGCAAGTGTAACCTGAAAAATAAGAGCAGATTCTGTCCCCTAAAAAAAAAAAATAAAAAAATACAGTTGTTCTGTCATCTACTGTATTTAAGTTGTACAATTTGACCTGTAACTAGCACTGAAGCTAAGGGCTAGTTTGATTAATGATTACAATATTTTACATCATTTTATTATACTTCTCAGAAGCTCTTAAAAGCGCTTCCTCAAAAGCAGCAACAAGAAGATACCCTGCAGGACACAATAAATTGGAATAGTATTAGCCATCTTAGCACTTGAAAAGATAAGGGTTTCTATATATTTAGTGATCGTTGACTGGCAAAAATAGAAGTTTTCAGTGAGAAATAGTACATGCCCATTTTGGAGTCTTCCCTAGCTGCCTGGGAAGATCATGGAGCGGATGCTGCTAGAAGCTATGCTAAGGCATATTTTTATGGAGGCATATACATATGGAGGACAGGGAGCTGACTGGAGAAAGTCAGCATGGCTCCACCAAGGGCAAGTCCTGCCTGACCAACCTAGAGGCCTTCTATGATGGAGCGACTACATCATTGGACAAGAGAAGAGCTATGGATGTCATCTATAGGCTTCTGTAAGGCCTCTGACACAGTGCCCCACAACATCCTCTCTGAATTGGAGAGACACGGATTTGATGGGTGGACTGTTTGGTGAATGAGGAATTGGTTGGATGGTTGCATCCAGAGAGTAGTGGTCAACATCTCAGTGTCCAGATGGAGATGGGTGATGACTGGTATCCATCAGGGGTCTGTGTTGGGACCAGTACTATTTAATATTTTCAGCACTGACATAGATAGTGGGATCGAGCGCACCCTCAGCAAATTTGCAGATGACAAAGAAATTTTTTACGATGAGGGTGGCAAAACACTGGAACAGGTAGATGCCCCATCCCTGGAAACACTCAAGGTCAGGTTGGACAGGGCTCTAAGCAGCCTGATCTAGTTGCAGGTGTCTCTGCTCACTGCAGGGGGGGTTGGACAAGATGACCCTTAAAGGTCCCTTCCAACCCAAACCATTCTATGATTCTATTTTGCAGGTAAGGCTTCATTCTGCCAATACAGTATCACCAGCATCTTGGCTCCAGCATCTGTGTCCTCAGAGACATAAAACATACCCATGAAATAGTAGATGTGTTAAACTAAAGTTAACACATCAACTCAATGTGTCTAGATACTGTATGATCAGCATTAGCAACAATAATCATCTAAGACATCATTTTGGATTTCTCATAGATTTAGATTTCATGGGCCTCTGTACCGTCCCAACACAAGCAACTTTTAAAATATGTGTGAAACCCTATTTCTATATGGAATTACAAGTGGCCAACAGCTTTGAGGTAATTTTTTGAGTTGTAATAACAAATGTGTCAGCCACATGTGAGTAAATCTATTTAAAAGCAACATCTCATATAAAATGTGGGCAAAGCAAGGCTTAAACACAACCTCTCATAAAAAAAGCTATTTCTGTGCTGCTATATAAAGGAAGAAAGTCTTGGAAATCCTTCCTACAAGTCAAAACACACATGCATAAGAGATTTTTAAACACTCTTTTGCAATTAATTTAGAATACATTTATTAGCAGATCCACATGTTCTCTTAACACCTCTCACACAGTGTTTGTGAACTTTAAAAGCTTTCCAATTTTTAGGAGGCACAGTTTTTCAAGTTATACATTACTCATTTCATATTGAGGTTAACATAATTAATAGGTTTTAAGTAGATCAAAA